CGGTGTCATTGTAAAGGATAAATGAGTAGATCTCGATAAACATGAACATGTAGGTGAATTGCCAAGCACGCATGGAAAATATTACGAGTAGCTAGACAGAGTTGGAGGTAGTACAGGATAAGCTCTGAGTAAAGATCCAATCAAGATAAGGAATATATACGAGGAGCACATTTTTTCAGCAGATTGTTGGAAATAGTCTCATGGGGTGGGGTTTTTGCTAACAAAACTTGGATTAGTTTAAGATATCTCACTTTATCTATGATATTAAATCACTACTGGAACTAGAGGATGGAATGGAAAACAATGAATCAAACTTAATCCAGGGAAAATTGACTTGAAGTTGCATCCCTCATTCTCTCCAAGACTTGTTCCCGGTTTCCTTCCTGATTGAACAGATACATCAAATTCAATTTTGCTTACCGTGTCGAAGAGAAATAACGAGTCTATCTTCGTACCAATGAAAGCAAAAGAAAAGAGCAGCAAAGACTAAGAACATTGGTTGTTGTGATAGGTTGCAGAGTCATTAGGGCATCCATGCATGATGCATGGAATTTGGCTCATTGGACTTGAGCAAACAGTCGTCGACTCGTGGTGGCAGAATTAAATCCAAGTAAAATTCAAAAATATAGAAAAAAATACCACCATTTCTTTGGTTGAACCGTTCTGTCCAGTAAAGCATGCATGGACGAACGCAAAGTCTCACGAGAGTCGAGACCCTGAAAATTCAAACGTTCAAAGCCTAGGAGTTAAGACCACTACCACGATATGGAGAATACAGAGACAGTAAACAGTCTAATCTCATTGTTATTGGTGGGGAGGCGGCAGGCAATCTGGCAAACAAGATGTAAACGAATTCCGGTGTCCGCGGAGCAACCAACTAGAGCGCTGAGGGAGGAGCAGAGGACCCACACGCGGTCAATTTAGGACGGCAGGAGCAAACTTCTTTGGCAACGAAAAGATTTTCATTAGTAGTTAATGTTGTTTTTTCTGTTCACAGCACTGTGTTTGAATCACGACCACAATCAACCTTTTCATTCATATACGGATTTGTACCGAGCCAAACATGGACAGAAATAAACAAGTGTCCAATGAATACTCGTTAATGGGAGTTGGGGTGTTATTTTTTGTATTTTAAAGATGCAGTTAATTCGAGATTGAGTGTCACAATTCATATGTAATAAACGTGAGTATCTATATAATAATTTAGGTAAAATTTAGGTGTGTTTAACAGTATTCATTTGGCATCTTTTAGAAAAATACATAAATATTTAAGCAACTATCTATTAGGTTATGAGATGGGAAAAGTAACTACTGATATTCAATGGAGAAGTTTAGTTTGAGACCCTATTAGTCAGAGGTCAAGACTTCTTTTGCAATTTGGTATTTAGTATGCATTTAAGCATTTTGTACTTTGTTTGTCCAAAAAAAAAATCACTAATTGATCAAGTCTCTTTTGATAGACAGTGCTATCTTTGGATAGAGTATTATTTAAAATAATTACTATAATAATTTTTATAATATGATATATATGAGAATAAAAAGAGATAAAAAATATAAAAAAGTAATTAAAAGACATGTTTATAATGCAAGCAATTAGTTTAGAAAAGATTACGAATCTAAGCCCACCCGTTTTCATTTGGTGAAATCGTAAACTATTTCTAGTTAAGCCTATCGATAGTACAATATTTTCCATTAGGACCCATTCAAATTCAATTTCGGAATAGTAAAAGTCAAATCCTTTGATCAAAATCAAACTAAGGAATAAACATACACGAAATATTCCAAGTCATACAACGTTAATTGTTCATGGTTGCTTGATGAAATAAAGAGAATATAAGTAGTGGCTTGTCTAATTACACCTAAGACGCTACCAATTTTATCCACTCTGCTGTTTGTCTTAATTTTCTTTTACATCCAACCCCAAAAAGATCATGACGAGAAACCTAAACCTTATGTTCTGCATAGCTTTAATAGTTCTTGCAATCAGCATAAAACCTTATGAAGCCACTCGAATCCTTGGTTTGGAAGAACCAGCAGAAGATTGCATTATGATTAGAAAGCTGCATCATTTTCTACAATCTCTGCAGTCCCAGAAAGCGGTTAAACCTCCGGCGCCAAGTGGGTGCAGTTTCATCGGCAAAAATGGTGGTACGCCATGCACCGCTAGCACCATTAGTGAGAAGAACTTTGCAGGTCGTGTTGCAGTGGCTGCACCTCCGCCGCCGCCGCCTCCTCCTACCAATGCATACCAGCAGCATGTGATTCAATTTGGCGTGGCTACTAATTTGCCCTGACTGGGTGTGTACTGCTTGCTGTATGCCACAAAGATACTTGACCTTGTACATGTAGAATAAATTTTTGGAGTGTTTTTGAAAAACTTTGCTGTAATAGAGTTTTTAGAGTATATTTTGGAATACTTTTAGAAAATATTTTGGAATATTTAAGAGTAGAAGAGTTTCTAAAATATATTTTGAGATATTTTTTAAAATTTTAAAAAAAATTAAATTAATTTTTAGATTACCTTTTAGAGTACTTTTTAAAAATTTTTATTGTATTTGAAAAACTAATTTTTGGAAAACACTCCAAAAACAAGGGATCCAAACAGCTAGTACGTTTTTATCAAATTCTTTCTTTGCAAGTTGTTAAAGAAAGAGACAGTACCTTCAAAAATAATAGCTCAATCGATAAATCTTAAGGTAAATTTTGTATGTATCATGCATAGAAAGTAGAAATCACCGGTAAAGAAGGCAAACAATCCGATGTAGACCTTTCGTCTACCTTAGCCCATGACAAATTCATAATTGTAAACAAGTTCTCAATATTAACTCCAGATTTCGTAGTAATATTAACTTTTAGCTTATTTCTGTATTTCTCAAGTGATGAGAGGGTTATAAATTTAAAGAAAATAGTGGAAACAAAAATCAAGTGTGCATATTTTCTTGGTTTTATTTGGTTTTTATTTTACATAAATAGAAGTACTTATTTAATATTTACTTCTTCTTGTAGAATAAGTAAAATTTGAATGTGTGTTAATCTTAATTTGTGTAAACTAAATGGCACAAACTCCTTAGATTGGAAATATAATTTTAGCATTGTTTTAAACAAGAAAATATCCTTTATGTGTTGGACACACTTGTACCTAAACCACTTCTCAAGGAACTATTGCACCCTATAGAAATGCTAATGACAATGACATCTACTGTTTGTATCATGGTGGCCTTTGTAACTCTTGAGTTATATAAGCAACATAAGAAAATGAATGTCCCTAAGATTATACTACATATCTCAAAATGTACACTCCAGGAGCAAGGTATGAGACGTCCAAGGAATTGTTCAGTTGCAAGATGGCAGAGGAGATCGACTTCTGTCGTAACAGCCATCCTTAAGATGATTGGCTATATTGAAAGATTAGACCAATTAGATTTTGTTATGCTAAGAAGCTGAGTGATCCAAAGGCTTGGGATTGCTATAATATTTTGAGTTTGGACTATTGTATTTTAATTGTCTTTGACAGTTACTAGATAAGGCGTTGTTCATATTATTACACATTAGATCCATGTGAAGCATGAAAAGATTGGTAAGTGATCGATGAGAATTCACTACCGCTAACAGTAATGTTTCTCTTCATTAGAATTATATGTACGAACAAGTAATTAAATGTTAGTCTCATTAAAGTGGGTGCTGATTCTATATGGTAAGTTGATGCTTCTTTAGACATATTGTTAACGCCATGTTTTCATTTTCTTAATGTTCCAAAATAAGATTCATAATTTCAAATTCAATATTTTCTTTTTAATTTTACCATTTGAAAAAGTAACCTTTAAAATCACAATGCACAAACAAGGAAATATTTTGAATTTGCATATGTAAATTAACCAATGCCGTCTTATCTAGACATAAGATTAGTACATATATATCCATCAAAAATTGAATTCCCAAAAATGACTCTAATATTGGGATGCTAGAAGTATGATATAAGCATGGGTAAAGGATATATAATACATGGTAAAAATTAACAGAAAAGTGAATTCATCTGTTTAACTTTTTTCATTGCTTAAGTGGCCAACTCATCTATTTAAAGTTTTCCATTACTTAAGTAGTCATGATGCAATATAAGATATCAATCTTGATCTGTAAGTTTGAATTTATTAATTAGTTAAATCAAAGTAATTAAAGGTGTTTAATTTATTTAGATTTGGATTATTAAAGGTTATAAGTTAAGCTTATTATCAACGCTAGGGGGGATGCGCGGGTGTTTCGTGTCTGTGTTTAGAGAGTTAATTGTGTGTGAGGATTCATATTTTATATGCTTCAGAAAACTGCTTTGTTGTACAAATGCTACATTAAAAAAATGCACTTACGATGTCCTAAAGGTCAGAAGAATAAAGTATGTTGTTGTTTAAATGTCCCTGGCTTAGCAACATATAGCAACAATTCATGCATTTTTCTAACTTAGCAACGTATAGTTACATGAAAGAAAGGCTCACATTGGACAAGGTTAACGCTACCATTAATGACACGGCATCCTATGCTGATGCTAATGCCCAACTTATAGCAGCACCACGGAAGAAGGTCCCATTGCGTCTTTTCTTTTTCTCATTCACCTTGTATATTTTTTTTATCTTCATGTCAATTACCCTGATTGTGCTTTTGTTTAACTTTTCTAAAGCTGAATGAGAGTACCTTGGAAAGAGCTTTGGTGAGTAAATCTTTCGCACAGAAGTTTATCTCTATTCATCAATGCTCAATTGAAACATTGATGCTTTTGCCCGTGAGGATGTTGGCGTCCAAAACCAGTGCCTTATCTAGTAATCTCACTACGAGCATGTCATTGGAAAAGATGTCACGATCAAATTGCTAATGGAGCTATTCGTGTGTACGTAACTGTATATATTGTAATCTAGGCCAGGAGGAAAAAAAATTGGTGTTAAAATCTAAGTTTTAATATTCTAAATCGGTTCTGTTCCTTTCCTTGCTTACTCGCACCCAGTGGTGTCAACTTACTTTGAATTCATCTGCATAACATCTGATGATGTTGCTAAAGCCCTGCAGGAATTAAGGGAGATTGCAACATCAGATGTTATCAAAGGAAAATACTTCTTCCTAGAAATTGATGTCAAGGGGCCTACAATCTACATTGAAGTTTGACACTACAGGAAAAGTAATATTGACTCTGAGTATTTCTTTAATCACTTGCTGATAACAAATTACCTGCTAGAATGGGGGAAATTAACTAAACAGAAATCCAGATTTATCTTTTAGTAAAGTAATTTATCGTGTCTAGGATTAGAGACAGTGAACACGAAGTGATACTGAACAGATGTGTCCTTTTCTCCTGGTATGGCCTGTCTGTTATGGTGTTATGGCATGTGGCTGCAGCAACATTTTTTATCTTGAGACGAGTACCTATAGAAACAAAAATGAGACTGGTCTTTAGATTGCTTTTTATAGGTTAACCTTGAGGATTGCATTGCAGGTCCTTCGACATCTTGGTCGTATTACTGAAGACAGAATTGGGCATCATCGTGTAATCATTCTTTTGAGGCCTCGATGGATTTCAACAATAGACCATATAAACTATCAATTCACAATGTAGAAAACACACCATGACTGAATTGATGCAGAAAACTAGAGTACCCCAGAAAGCTTACCTTATTCCAGACACCCCTGAGAAAGCTTTTTCTTGCAGTTGCTTCCAACCTATCACATTATAAGCAAACTAGTTAAATTACACACGCCAACCAAATTTGTCCAAAAATCTTTATCTTGCAGTTAAACTACACAACCAAAGTTTCAAATTTTAAGATGTGAGCACACGCCAACACTACACATCATAAGAACCACCCACATAAACAACAAAATTGAGGATCAAAACTCACCTCAAGCTGAACCACCACAAATAGCTGTGACTAAAGACTATTCTGAAATGTTGAGTATAAAGGAAGCCAAAAATATCCTATTCCCAAAAGGAGTAAGGGGAAAAACTAAAGAATGTGAAAGAGAAGGCATTGAAACAACCATAATCGACGCTCAGACATTCATTCATTAACATACCCACATTTTTGCTGGTTAATTGAGATGTAAATGGCAAAGAAATGGGTTGTTTCAGACCTGAGCATATATGAGGTGGAAAGTGATCAGAAATAAGTTATTTCAGACAAAAAAATATGCTCAAATGGTTAGTTATAACAACGTGTCTTTGTATTAATTGCACAACAAAGGCCACCTTTCAATTAAATATGTTTATAACACCATTTCAGTAATTACACTAACACATAGGCTTATATGAGTTATACTCGATGCAAAAATGGTTGCAAAATAATTTCATATTCTAGAGATACTTAGAAGTCTCCGTAAATCAAAACTTTAAATGTACCAAAATGAGTACATTTCGGTAAACATATCCAAACACATGCTGCTCTCAGTTGTACTAAAAACTTTACAAAAACTACACAACATCTTACATTCTCAAAAAGCCTCTATCTATTTGGTTGAATTTCAAACCCCCTCTTTGACCACAACCCAATCTTATATAGTATAAGAATGCTTGAGAACTTAACGGGTAGCATACCAAATAATTCAAGTGAAGCCTTGAATGGCAACTATTTATTACTTATGGTGTAATTAATAAGATAAATTATGGTTGAGGCCCCAAGAACAACAGTGAACTTTTCAGAGATACTAAACTGATAATACCCAATTAAATCTCTGTGCCCAAGGGAAGGGTAGTAAGAGGAAAAAAAGGAAAAAAGATGATCCCACTGCCATCTATTGTTGTAGAGAAGGAAAAAAAAAGGAATTAGATGGTGATCTGATAGAGAAGGAATAGAAAGAAAGGAAAAAAAAAGAAGAGGAAGATAAAAGATCACATCATCATCTGGTAAATAAGGTTAAAAAAGAAAAGAATAGGAAAAAGAAAAAGAAAGAGAGGCTTACAATGTGACCCAGTGCAAAAGGAAAAGAAAGAAAAAAAGATCTGGTGGTAAAGGAAAAGTAAAAAAGCAGAAGAAGAAGATCATGATATGATCTGGTATAGAAGGGGAAAAAAGAAAGCAAAAAGAGAAAGCAAAAAGCAAAAGGCAAAAAAAAAAGGATAAAAAAAGAAAAAAAAAGGAAAAAATAGAAAAGGAAAGTGATGATTGGAGGGTATTCACGAAAAATACTTGACCTTTTCTTTCTTACAGACTTTATCATTTACGGTTTTCATTAGTTTTCTAGAACAGTTAAAATCACGAAGGAGTCCCATGGATACTTTGAAGTGCAAGCAATCTAGTTGGCTTCTAAACTTTCATTCTGGGTAAAACTTAGGGCCTGTTTGGAACCTGAGTTTTTTGGAAGTTTGTCTAAAACTTTACTGTAGTGCACTATAGAAGTTTTTGAAAAAATTTTGTAGAAGTTTTTATAAGGTGAAAATTTTTTTTGTAAGGTGCAAAATTTTGTAGAAATTTTTGTAACGTGCAAAACTTTTTTTTCCTTTTCTTTTTTTTTTTCTTTTTCTTTTCTTTCTTTCCTTTTTCTTTTCTTTCCCCTCTTCTCCTTCTTCTTCTTCTTCTTTTTTCTTCTTCTTCTTTTTTCTTTCTTTCCTCCCCGTTACCTCCCAGCAGCAGTCACGCCCGCCACCCCTCTCCTCCCTTTCCCCTTCTCCTCCCGCCACCGTAACCTCCTCCCCCCCGCCACCCCTATGCCCCTTCCCCCTCTGCCACTGCGACCCCCTCCCCCGCGCCCCTGCCCCCCCCGCCCCTGCCCTTTCCTCTGCCACAGCACCCCTGCCTTTTCCAGACTTCCCCCCGCCACCCGCCCCTTTTTCCCAGCATCCCCTGCCCTTTCCCAGCTTCTCCCCGCTACCTCTGCCTTTTCCCCAGCTTCTCCGCCACTCTCTCCCCCCGCCCATCCCCTGCCCTTTCCCCAGCTTCTCCCGCCACCTCCCCTGCGCAACCCCCTCCCCTGCCACCCCCCTGCCCTTTCCCCAGCGCGACCCCCTCCTCCCGCCACCCCGCGGATGGCGCTAAAATAGTCCCCAGGTTTCTGGCAAAAAGCATCGAGAAATTTACGGAACTTGGAACGCTTCATCGAGGAGGATTTGCTCTTCTGCATCCAATTGAATAAGGAAACTATCACGTTGAATTTGATGTCAAAATCCTCCATTCTAGACTTTTTTGATTTTTCTGGGCTATGATTTTGCTTGTTCGGTTCTTGGGGTTCTATGTTCATTTTTTGTGTTTGAAAATGAAGGATTTAAAAACCGTTTGAAAGGGGGAGGGGGAAGGGGGCAGGGGAGGCAGAGGGGAAGAGGGGAGGGGGGAGGGAAAGAAAAAAAAACTTTGTGTATGGTCGGAACTGGCCGCCGGAATAGTATTCCGTGCCGGAAGTGGTGGTAGAGGTGGTGGCCGGCGGCGGAGGATGTGGTGGGTTGGGTGGGGGAGGAAAAAGAAAAAAAGTTTGAAGGGAAAGTTTTTTTGTGTATTTTTTGAAGTGTGTAGGTAAAAAGTTTTGAGAAGTTTTTTAGGGTTCCTGTAGCAAAAGTTGTTAAAAAACTAGTAGGTAAAAAACTTGGGCAAAAAACTCACTTCCAAACAGGCCCTTAGTTCTCAACGTCAACTTTTAGTCCTCAAACTTGTGAAAACGTGTACTTGTAGCCCTTTTGTCAAGTTTGTCCAGTTATGCAATTGGAAAGACTAATGATCATGTGATAGACACAACACATTGTAGTTGGACCTTTTTGTCCATACAGCAAAATGAAACCTGCAGAAAAATAGATCATCTTCTGATATGAGTCTCGCCAACAAATGAATCCCGTTATCACACAAGTCCTGGATCTAGACCAATAGTGTCGAAGTTTGGCAGCGGAATAAATCTCAACCCTATGAATCCTTATAGTTACGAACCTTGATGCAATCTCAACCCACAACTAAAGAAACACCAAAACCTTGATTTTGGTAGAAGATGCTACAATCAAGTGTGATCCTTCGTTGATAAGTCACTTGAACACCTCATAATCATTGATAAGTCACTTGAACAACTCATTAACAAACTCTAAAATATTCAAAGAATGCTCACGAAAAGCCAACAGAATAACTCTCAATGTTATTGCCAAAAAATTATCTTTTTTTTTAGTTGAATAGGTTACAAGGATGTTTATAGCCAAAGATCTAAACTAGCATAAATCCAAATTGGATAGGGATTATCTCACTTATTCTTGGTTCCCTGTTGCTGTGCAGACAAAAAAACACTTCTATAATGTTTCATGCCCGTCGTGTGGTTAGTCTTTTCGGTTGCATAATCGAATAAACTTGACAAAAGAGACATAGGGATACATTTTTATAAGTTGGAGGCTAAAAGTTGACATTTAATAGTTGGAGAGTTAAATTTTACCCAAATTAAAAGTTCAATAGTCAAATAGAATGTTTGTGCCATTTTGAAACTATAGAGGAGTCACCTAACTTTAGCAAGGAAAATCATACGGGAATTCCGTGTATTTTACCTAGTTTGAAAGTTCAGGCATCAAATACATTGTCTGCCCTATTTTAAAACTAGAGAGGAGTCATGTGATCGTAGCAAGGGAAACCATAGAGAAATTTCATGTATTTTATCCTTAATTTTAAGTGTTAACAATGAGGTTATTATACACTCCCTAAAATATAACAAAGTTTATATTTATTTATGCCATAAGAACACATAAACACATAAACTTATTATAAACCCTAAGATTATTGGAATAAACATTAGAAATTAAAACTTTTTTCAGACAAATAAAAATGGTATGACAAAGCCCCAGTAGATATAACCAGTAGCTACATAACTGTGCTTTTTTCTGAAGCTACCTCTCCCACCTTGCATGTCACCAAAAATAAATTCGATTTACCGCTGCTACTTCAGCGTATCTTCTTCCCCAAGAACTTTCTTTCCTAACCAATTAGATCCCAAAACAAAGCCGATAAGTTATCCCCAATTTCCCCAGTACACAAAACCTTTTTCACTCTCTCCCTCTAATCCCCGGTCATGGGACGTAAGAAAATTGTCACAACCGTGGAACAAGTATCGGACGTTGACGACGGCGTTCTGCTCCCAGACTATAACCAGCCTCCGCCTCCGACTCCTTTTATCGGCGGCTCTGTTATTCCGATTGTTAATAAGCTACAAGACATATTTGCGTCGCTGGGGAAGGACCAACAGGAGCAGCTTTCGAAGCTGAAGCTGCCGCAGGTGGCGGTTGTTGGTGGCCAGAGTAGCGGCAAGTCTAGCGTCCTTGAAGCCCTAGTCCGCCGTGACTTTCTCCCCCGTGGCTGCGATATTTGTACTCGCTGTCCCCTGGTTCTGCAGCTGGAGAACCGTCCGTCCCTGCCCGGTGATGAGGATGACGGTCTCGAGTGGGGGGAGTTTCGTCACTTGCCTGGCCGAAAGTTCTACGATTTCTCTGAAATTTGCCGCGAAATTCAGGTTATTTAATTTATTGTTTTGAAATAGTTGTTGAATATCTGTTCTGTACTTTATTCTTCCTCTCTAGGAGGGTGGTGTTGTACGTTGTGCTTTAATGCTTGTAGATTGCTCTGGCTTCTTTTTAAATAGATAAAAGGGTGGTTGTATCTTATGCTTCTATAGTTGTATCCTGTAGCCATATCAAATTCATGCAGCTTGTTTTTGGCATTGGCATGTCCAACGATAGATAACTGTCAAATTATTGATTTGCACACATTCGGATGACAATGACATCATAGATTTTTAGGTTTGGTTGTGGAGAGCATGTTTCAGATTTTTCATTGTCACTAACTGCTTATGAGAAGTTTCTTGGCTGTGAATTTTTATTTTATTTTATTTTATTTTATTGAGATCTATCTAATGTCTGCTCTTTAGCCTTTGCCATTTAAGAGGAGTCAAGGAACCAAGCACTCTTAACCTGCCAAAAAAAGAGGGATTCTTTTGGCTTTTCAGACACATTGATTAAGAAAAAGGAGCGCATAGGATAATAAACCAAGTAATTCCCACATGCGTAACTGAAAGTAGCTAAATTCAAACATGACCGAATAAAGCAGCAGTTGTCTTAAGTTGGGATATAAAGCATAAGCTTTATAGAATGTTCAGAAACCAATAGTTGCGTTTATGTCATAGTGGTGTTTGTAACTGATTGATTTCCGCCTTTTATGTCCCTTTGAATTTTATGAGTTTGTGGGAATAAGGACCTGTTTTTGTGAAAGATGTGGATTAAACTAGGTCTTATATGCCATACAGCATTATGACTATTGCCATTGAGTTTCTGACATTGGAATTCAACATTCTGGCAGGTTGAGACTGAGAGAGAAGCAGGGCTAAACAAAGGAGTTTCAGATAAAGAAATTAGATTGAAAGTTTCTTCTCCAAATGTTCTTAATATAACCCTCATTGATCTGCCTGGGATTACTAAGGTACCTGTAGGGGATCAACCAAATGATATAGAAGCAAGAATCAGGGAAATCATAAACTCCTACATAAGACAGGAAACTTGTATCATATTGGCTGTTACTCCTGCAAACTCAGACTTGGCCACTTCTGATGCGCTTAAAATGGCTAGAGAGGTTGATCCAGCTGGTAGGCTTTTTGGCAGGATGATTTTCTCTGCTTGACTTTATTTGGAAGCAGCAGCATATATTTCTGTTATAGATTAGTCATCCTAGATATACTAAGCAATAAGCTTTATATGTATGTCTATCGTACAAGGATTTGATGTATTATGAGTATGAATGTAAATGTAATGTTATATGCTCTCTTTTATGGTTTAGTGGATTGACAAGTTTCGTTTTCTGCCAGGTTCTCGTACAATTGGTGTGATTACTAAGGTTGGTTTTTCATTTTAGCTTATTGCAATTGGAGAGAACAGTGCAGTGGGTTCTTTGAAGTAAAACTAGATTATGAAACCACTTTATTGTGGATGTAGCTTGATATAATGGACAGAGGTACTGATGCACGCAAGTTTTTGCTTGGAACTATTATTCCTCTTCGTTTAGGATATGTTGGTGTCATCAACCGCAGTCAAGAGGTAACTCTTTCAGGTTATTCACAATACTGTTGTCATTGCTGTTCATATCTTTTCTAATATGTAATTTTGTCAGTATTTGATTGATATCAACTCAGCTGAATTAGCTCGCAGATGCCGTGCATTGATTCTTGTCTTGTAGAACAAATTTGGGGTCTGCATCCATATTCATTCAACTTTAGTTCCTGAAGTCCACTGGTCTTTGAATGTCTTTTCTTAATTTCATTGTACTGAAGAATTTTTTGAATGGGGGGAGATCATTTCCAACAACTGTAGCTAATTCGGGATGTAGACAGGGTTTTGGATGCAAAGAAGATGGAACTGAAGAGCAAACAAAATTAGTTTACTTTCTCAAATGTTTCTAAGCATATCAGATTTGATGAAAGCCAATCTGTTGTTCAGGACTTATTTCATTTGTAGATCTTTCCAGTATAAATAGTGAGCTGTGGGGTTTTGTCCAACAGGATGGGAAGAAATATCTATTGTTTAGATTTAAAGAGATTACTTTTATAAATAAAAGAATCAAAATGTTGTAGTCATGGTCTCAACATTTATCTTGCCCTTTCAAATTTATCTATCAGCAAGTGAAGAAAAGAAAATTGGTAGGCAAATGAGAGAGGATGAGTAAAATTGAACATTCCTTTGAACATTCCTGTGCTGATGTTTTGTAACATGCGTTCTTCGTATTTGGTCAGGTCCGGGGATCCATCTATTTAACATCATTCAAGATAATCCTGGTTGTTAATAGGGCTCAAGGTTTGTGGGTGATTAAATGCCTGGCCTGTTCCACTTGCTTTCCTTTTTCTTCCGAGGGTATTATGGAGGGTGCAAGTCATGAAAATAGGAGGATGAGTAACACATGCAGTTCAGCTAACTTCAGAATTTGGCTCTATAGGCTCTGAAAAAAAAAGTTATTGATGTTGTGAAAGGAATGCCATAAAGCAAAATTTAGGGTTGCCCAATTCAGATTATGAAGGTGATGTAGGGATATATGGTAAAAGTATAGAAAATGATATTACAGTTGTGAGCTTAATACTAAATACCATTAGCTTGGATGCTGTAGGTTCAGACAAGAAACGTAAATCCTCTCTTTCAAAGTGGATCCTTAGAAGAGTTATGATGACAAGCTAGAGGGAAA